ATATACAGTTTCCCTACTTTTGCAAAGACAGAGGGAGGTGTGTTCTTATATCTCTTCCTTCTGGCCAAGTTTGGTCATTGTCTTTTTACATCATTCAATTTTATTTGCTTTGTTATTGTTCTTTCCATTCACATTGTTGTAGTCATTATTTATATTGTTTTACTGCTTCTGCTTATCTCACTTTGCATCAGTTCATCTAAGTTTTCCCAAGCTTCTCTGTATTCCTCATATTCATTTTTTTCATGCAGCATAGTAATACTCCATTACATTAATGTATTACAACTTGTTTAATCATACTCCAAATTCTGAAGCCTTCAGTTCTTAATAATGGCTTATATTTATTTAGTATTTTAAGATTTGTAAAGCGATTTCCCCCTTGCAAACCTATGAGGTAGGCATCTAGATGGCTCAGTGGATAGAGTTCCAGGCCTGAAGTTGGAAAAATTTATCCTCCTGAATTCAAATCTGGCCTCAGACACTTACAAGCTGTGTGACCCTGGACAAGTCACTTAATCCTGTTTGTCTCAGTTTCCTTATCTGTCAAATGAGCTGGACAAGGAAATGGCAAACCATTCCAGTATCATGGCCAAGAGAACCCCAAATCGGGTCACAAAGAATCAGACACAACAACACCTTCATTTTACAGGTAAGAAAATTAAGATCCTGAAAAATTAAGTGTTTTTTCCCATTTTTAGTTTTTTCAGAAATGTATTCTACTTCTCTACTGATTCTACCTTGATTCTTTTTTTAAAAAATCCAATTACACATAAAAGCAATTTTTAGCATTTTTTTAAAACTTTGAGCTCCAAATTCTCTCCCTCCCTCTCTCCTCCCCTCATTGAGGAGGCAAACAATTTGATATAGATTGTATATGTACAGTCAAGCAAAATATTTCCATATTAGTCATGTTGTGAAAGAAAACATAGAACAAAAAAAAAGCATAAAAAAAAGTAAAAATAGTATGCTTCAGTCTGCATTCAGACTTCATCAATTTTTCTCTGAAGGTGCATAGTATTTTTCTTCATAAATCCTTCAGAATTTTCTTAGATTATTGTATTGCTGAGAATAGCTATGTCATCGACAGTTGATCATTGTACAACATTTCTGTTACTTTGTACAATGTTCTCTTGGTTCAGCTCATTTCACTTTGCATCAGTTCATGTAAGATGTCCCAGGTTTTCCTGAAAGCATCCTGCTCATCCTTACTTATAGCACAATAGTATTCCATCACAATCATATACCACAACTTGTTCAACTATTCCCAAATTGATGAGTATTTCCTTAATTTCCAATTCTCTGCCACCACAAGAAGAGGTGCTATAAATACTTCTGCACATTCAGTTTTTTTTTCCTTTTTTTATCCCTTTGGGATACAGACCTAGTAGAGGTGTTACTGGGTCAAAGGGTATGTACAGTTTTATAACCCTTTGGGCATAGTTTCAAATTGCTCTCCAGAATGGTTGGATCAGTTTACAACTCCACCAAAAGTGCATTAGTGTACCAATTTTCTTATATCCCTTCCAATATTTGTCGTTTTCTTTTCTGTCATATTAGCCAATCTGACACTCATGAAGAAGTACCTCAGAGTTGTTTTAATTTTTTGAATTTCTCTAATCAATAGTGATTTAGATTATTTTGTCATGACTATAGATAGCTTTGATTTCTTCACTTGAAAACTGCCTATTCATATCCTTTGACCATTCATCAATTGTGAGATGACTGGTATTCTTACAAATTTGACTTATTTCTCTTATGTTTAAGAAAAAAGACCTTTATCCAGGAAACTTGCTGTCAATTTCTTCCCTTAGTTTTCTGCTTTCCTTCTAATCTTGGTGGCATTAGTTTTGTTTGTGCAAAATCTTTTAAATTTAATGTACTAAAAATTACCCATTTTACATCCTGTAATGCTTTCTGTTTCATGTTTGGTCATAAATTCTTCCTTTATCCATAGATCTGACAGGTAAACTATTCCATGCTTCCTTAATTTGCTTATGATATCACTCTTTATGTCTAAACCACGTAACTATTTTGACCTTATCTTGGTATACAATGTGAGATGTTGGGAAGCACAGAAAGAACTAACTTGACTTAGGGACCATCCTCAGGGAAACTGAATTGTTGCCACTTTTTCATGAAACAGGTGGATTATAGAAGCATATTGATTTTTTAGGTTATATATTAAAGAAGAGAAGTGATTTTCAGTGGGAGTCAGATTACAAAATCTCCATTTTTCAATGATCTAAAAGGCTGAGGGTTAGACAGCTAGGTGGCATAGTGTATCGAGCACTGGGCCTGGACTTAGGAAGAATCATCTTCCTGAGTTCAAATCTGGCCTCAGACACTTGCTAGCTGTGTGACCCTGGACAAGTCACTTAATCATCTTTGCCTTAGTTCTTCATCTGTAAAATGAGTCAGAGAAGGAAATGGCAAACCACTCCAGTATCTGTCAAGAAAACCCCAAATGGGGCAGCTAGATAGTGCAGTGGATAGAATGCCAACCCTAGAATCAGGAGGACCTGAGTTAAAATCTGGTCTTAGACACTTGACACTTATCAACTGTGTGACCCTGGGCAAGTCACTTAACCCCAATTGCCTCGCCAAAACAAAGAAAGTAAACCCCAAATGGAGTCACAAAAAGTCTGACATGAAAGAACAAAAACTGGAGGACTGGGAGACATATCTGACATATTTCCCTCCCTAATACATGAATAATGCCAACCCTCAGCTAGTTGATGTAATTACAGCAAGGAAGAGGCAGATAAGAGAGGCAAAGAAATATTCATATACTAACACTACCTCTGATTGAATTAGAATGAAAGGGTGGCATTGGCTAACCACAGAATGACTGTGCCCTTGGCAGCCTTTACAAAGCTAAGCCTGGCATCCCCTTAGATAGTCCAAAGAATTGAGCAGTCCAAGGCATGGAACATCTTTATATTATGTGGCATGTGCCCTCTACCAGAGGGAGGGAGGAGGAGAACAGAGGATTTTCTTTCCTCTATCCCCCCACTCTCCCTTATCAGCAGTTAAAGACACTGAATCAAGTAGGAAGCAGAGAGGTCTACTTCCTTGAGCATTCTAGTCACAGCTGAAACAAAGTTGAGTTGTTCAAAAGAGTTGAATCAATCAGTTCAATGCAGAAGCAGCTTCAAGACGAAAGACCCTGGCTAGCAAAAAAGGGCATCAACTAGGCTTCAAGGGAGAATTAGCTCTTCCAGATTGGAGCTGACCTCTAGGGCAAAGCTGACCCAGTGAGCCCAGATGGACAACCCACCCAGCAGATACCCAGTGTCCAAGGAGCAGCAGCATGAGGACACTATGAAAAGACAGAGGAGGTTCCTACATGAGGAATATTGTGTAACTATTGTTCTTACTATGCACTTTTAGTAAATGCCTTTGCTTTGAGCTTATTGAGTCTACTAGTTGATTGTTAATGGTAAGTTCATAAGATATCGTTTTAGGCTATCCAGAGTATGTTTTAGAACCTTTAAGAGTGGACATACTTCTGTGACCTAACCTACCCATCTGTGAGTACTGAGTAGGAAAAGTTTCCCAGAGGGGTTGCTACATTCACAATATCATATATATTTTATTTTTTCCTTCTGATTGCTATAGGGAAGGCACTTTTTTTAGAGAAGAGGTAATATGTACTTAATACTTAATACTTAAAGTACTTTGATTTTTAAAAAATTTGTTTTATTAGTAAATAATTTCCATCTATAATTAGCTTGCTTCCTCTAAGATGAAGAATCTGTAGGTTTTTATTGGGTTCAGAAAAATAACGTGTTTGCATAAAGTCTGTCTCCCTATGGAAACACTGATCAAAATACATTCATAAAATGGTGTGTGTGTGTTCCTGAAAGAAGGAAAAATATTTTGGGGGCAAATGACTACATTTTGAGGGTAAATCCTTTGGTTGAAAATAATTACCATATTGTACACAGGAGACCAATCTGGGGAAACTTAACAGTTTAGTGCTTAAAAATATTAGTCGTTAGAATATGTACTATTTTTATACAGATATTAATTGTGCTTACAAAGAGATACTCCAGCAGAGTTGCAGTGTACCTATTTTGCCAAGTTTATCTCTAAATTCCAGTCTTGTGGGGGAAGGGGAAATCTGATCAGATCAGTCTCTTTGTTTTAACAGGACTGAAAAATAAAGGTCAGTGACTGAAGATAAGGGTGAAACCCAGGTTTTTGTATTATTTTAATGACCACTAAGTCACTTACTCTATTATATTTATCAATTTCAAAACATTGTTTGCTGGGTTGTTATTTAGAAATAGCCAGCAAATTGCCATTACCTTCCTCTTGAAAAGCAGCCCAGTATAAAGCAAGTAGGTGATAATTTTAAATGTTATTACCTGTAAATGAGGGGATTGGACCATGGGTACTCTAAGGTCCCTTTTGGTGTTAAAATTATGTAATAGATACTAGGGAGTATTTTTGGAAATAGAAAATATTTTTAAACATTTGGAAACTGAGTAAAATAATCACAACAGAATAGTGGGGTTGGGGTGGGGAATATACAATGCCTTAGAATGACACTTTCAAAATAATCCAAAGCTACCCATCAATCTGTATGCCTGAGACTACTCTCCTCAAAGGTGGACAAATTGACCTTCAGGGAAGGTGATTTTTTAAAATAGAGCCAGAAAATAATCTCCTTGAGATATAAAACTTCCAAATAACTATAGAAACAAAAAAAAAGTCTAAATTAGTTCAAGCATTCAGGGAACCGGAGAAGGATTCGAAGCAATACTTTACCCTTAACCTTAGATTCCACCCTCCTCCCCAAAGCTTCGGTGTCTATAGCATGCTGGATGCGCATGCTCCACTATTCCTCCTTTAATTCCCCACTCAGGGGTTTTTTTTCCCCCACTGTGGCCTTCTCTCCTCGCCTTCCCCTGCCCCTCCCCCCTCGTCCTTCTCAGGCGTGACATCTGGGAAGTGAGGAGGAAAGAGCCTGTAGGGTTAGCGCCCCAGAGCGCTACCGTGGCAGCTTTCTTTTTCTCTAGCATACGCTGAGCTGCTAGCGGCTGCCCAGCAGCTTGTGAATCAGAAGGGATTCTCAGCTTCTGTTTATTTTCCTGTTGTTGTTTTTATCTCTCTCAGTCGGAGGGAAATAGAAACACTGGCAGACACCTTCACCCAGACCTCCTGTCCTCAGTTTTGACACTTCAGTTTTCCCTTCTGGTCCGAAGGCAATAACTTCCAGACTTCAGCAAAGAAGCAGAAAGATCTATTCCTTCCCTCGCCAGAAGAGACAGGTAAAAAGCTGTAGCTTCCTGGATTCCAGCTTTCTCTGGCCTTTTATACCACAGAGGAGCTATCTTGTTCTTTTTAATCCTCTCATACCTGTGTTTGTTTCTGTGCCAGTCACTCTCTTCCTCTTTTCCGGTCCCCTCCTTCCCCACCCCCTCCTGTGGATATTTGGAAGGGCAAGAGAAACCTGGGCTGCAAACAGGTCGACATTTATATCCTTTGCTTTTCGGCATTAGTGTCTCCGTAAGCTGGGAAAAGGATGAGAAATAATCCTTTCATTTATCCTAGGAAAGAGAATTTCTCCTCCACCCTTGTCATTAAAGACTTGACTAGGGCTATCTGAAGACTAACTTGAATTAAATAATTGGGCAACTAATTTTTTTTTTCTATGAAACTAAAACTTGGGGGCTGGTGGGGTTGGGGGGGGAGTTAGCAATTTTTGACTCCTTTGGGAGCTCAATAGATAGAGATTCTGTTCTCAGTGGTGAGCAATGACCTGTAGCATCATGAATTTAGAGGCTTCCCTTCCCATTCTCCATCTCTTCATCTGCATCTAAATCTACCTTGGTTATAGATTTTTGAAAAAAAAAACAACAAAAAAAAACCCAAAAGTGGTCAAATAATGTAGTATCATTTTTTCCTTTTCACTTTCCTCTCCTATCATAAACAAGGAGTCCAACAGTATGGCTGTTGTCTGTTTTTCCTCAGCATGGAGAAGGCAATATATTATAGCTCTTTCCTGAGCTCCACTGCTAGATTCATACAGGGATTCAGTATTTACAATTCACTTTTCCAGCTTGGAGAGGTGGTTAAGTGGAGGGGGAAAAAAGAAGAAAAGAGGAAAGAGAAGGAAGGTCAAGGAGAGATAAGAAAATCTCAGAGAACTCTGGAATCGGGATTACATTTTACCTAGGTGTCCAGGTGAACAGATCTTATTTTATGTCTCACTAATCCTAATTAGACCACAGGTTCATGTGCAAATAAATAAATAGATGTTCATTTTGTATCATTTACTCAGCAGTCAAAAATACTGAGAAGAGTCTGTCATCTTACAATTGTTACTGAGGATTTAATATGTATTTGGGTATCAGCTTCCATACTGACCTCTAAGCTATATTTTTATTAAACCTCCCCCTTCCCCTCACTTCTCAGATATATATGTAGATCCTTACATAGGGATCTCTGTAGCCGCAGAAGCAGGACTGGATAAACTAAATAACAAGCAAAGCTAAATAGTCAGTATTCCAGAGAATAGATCTTTGCACACTACTCTATGAAAGGGATGAAGGGAGATTGTATGTTTAATGTTATTTATTCATGGAATTGAAAATTTGATGGAATTAATTCTTGCCCAGTCATTTTTCTTCCTCAAGCAGGATTTGAATTACCTCTTCATATAAGCTTTCATATTTTAATGAGTATGAAGTGCATAGTGGCTATTTTGGGGAGCGCTGGAGAACCCTTGTCTGACTCTAAATTCACACTACAAGGTTAGGAATCAGTGGGATGGAGAGGTGGCCAAGATGTTCCTAGCTTCAAATCTAACTGCCTAGGACTGAGCCTCATGTCTTTGGGGATTTGGACTTCTGTTCCTTTCTGTATTGAGTGGGAAAAGGCTTTGATGGATATGTTGCTTGTGTCCATGGTGCTGAAATTATTCCAATTTGCAATGTGTCTGACTTCATGAGCTACAGCATTTCCTCTTTATTCTCATCACCTTTTGCCACATGTATTCCATTTCTATAGTAAATTTTTAAAAATGAATGCTAATATCATGCAGAAATATCCTTTTTATGTGTTGATGCACCGATTTCCTGAAGAGATACTTTAAGAAGGTGATAAGGTAAATGATATTAATGTTAGAGTTGTAAATAGTCTTTATAATATAATAAAAAATTTCCCATGTCATATTAGGAAGAGTTTTTAGGCTATTAGTTTCATGTTTCCCAGAACATTTTTACAGCATGGTTTAATTTTTATTTTATAACAGTTATTTTTTTCACACTTGTGTTCATGAACTATGCAAAATAATTCATTTCACATTCAGCTGTCTCACAGTTTTAGAGCCTATGGATAGAAATGTCTGGTATTATACTGAACCATCAGGCATTTCTACCAATTTTAACGTAAGAACAAATGAAGATACTAACTTGAAATTGGTTTTATCTCTCTGCACACCTCCCCCCACCTCCGAAAATTCTTGAAGTTGAGTACAAAAATGAAAGATTGATGTAAATTTTGACACAGGGCCAGATAATCTTAGAAAATCAATTATTAAAAAGAAAATTTGGCAAAATCAGTAACATAATACTGATGATTCTAAAACTAATCCCAGGGGCAGCTAGGTGGTGTAGTGGATAGAACACTGGCCCTGGAGTCAAGAGGACCTGAGTTCAAATCCAGACTCAAACACTTTAACATACACTAGCTGTGTGACCCTGGGTAACTCACTTAACCCTGATTGCCTTGCCAAAAAAAAAAAGGATAATCTGTTTATAGCACTATAAAATATTTTTAGAATGACTGCATTTTAATCTGTTTCCTTTTAAATTTATTTGTTTATTGCTAAACACTGCTTGAATTATCTTTAAGTACGCTCCTTAAAACCAATGTTATTCTATGCCCAAAAGGCTATAAAAATGTGCATACCCTTTGATCCAGCAATAACACTTCTAGGGCTATATCCCAAAGAGATCATACAAATGGGAAAAGGACCCACACGTATAAAAATATTTATAGCAGCTCTTTTTGTGGTGGCAAAGAATTGGAAATTGAGAGAATGCCCATCAATTGGGGAATGGCTGAATGAGTTGTGGTATATGAATATAATGGAATACTATTGTGCTGTAAGAAATGATGAACAGGCTGACTTCAGAAAAACCTGGAAAGACTTGTATGGTCTGATGTTGAGTGAAGTGAGCGGAACCAAGAGACAGTCGTACACAATAACAGCCAAGTTGTGCGATGACTTATATTGACAAATTTAACCCTTTCCAGCAATACAAGGATCTAAGATATCTCCAAAGGTGTTGTGATGGAAAATGCTATCCACATCCAAAGAAAGAACTATGGAGTTTGAATGCAGATCGAAGAATACTATTTGCTATTTTTTTTTCTTCTGTTGAGTTTTGTTTCCTTTTTCTGGTGGTTCTTCCTACTGATTCTAATTCTTACTTACAACATCACTAATGTGAACATATGCTTAATAGGAATGTATATGCATAGCCTATATCAGATTGTGTACCATCTTGGGGAGAGTGGTGGGGAGGAAGGGGGAGAAAAATTTTAAACTCAAAAGCATATGGAAGTGATTGTTGATAAATCAAAATAAAATAATAAAAAAAATTCAGCAAAATACCCCAATGTTATTTCAATTAATTCTAACGGACACAAGTTTGTCCTCCACATGGAGCAGCATATGCTATTCCATATGAACACTCAATTTCATTTAGACCACTGTTGTGTAATACAGTTAATTTATAAATGAGCAATGAAAACTTTAAGACTTTCCAGTGCCTTCTACTTGATCTCATAACTATTGGGAGCCTCTTATTTTGGAGTAGAGCTATTTTCTAGAGTATTTCTTTACTTATTTTTACATTTATGTGAATGAAGAATCATTATACCAAAGTCCATTTTGCAATCAATATGTGAATTCTTGTCACTGTTCTTAAAAAAGAGAGCTAAGTGAAGAGTTGTATAAGAATGTGACTATATGATAAGGAAGGAGGGGTTGGGGGATGGATGCTACTGAATCACATATTTTAGACAACTTTTTTTGGCAATGATTTATGTGCCACTAGAATAATAATTTTTTTCAAAGGCAAATATATCAGTTTATAGATGGATTGGTCTGCACACTGAAAATATTTTATTTTAAATAGTTGGTTTTATTTTCTCCAACTCTAAGAAAGTTGAGGAACAGCCTTGAGGTAGTATTTGAACTTGATTTTTGAGGATAAGTATTTTAGTTAAGAAGGGCAAACCTGATTTAGTGGAAAGAGACTTAGGATCAGAAGTTCTGGGTTTGAGGCCTTGTTCCACCACTTACTAGCCATATGACATAGGCAGGTCATTGTACCTCTCTAAGCCTCAGTTTTCTCCTCTATAATATTTTTCCTATGTGCTTTATAGAATGCTTGCAGGGAGTGTTTTATAAACTGTGAAATACTAAGTACACATGAGATATTATTACAGAATCTAGTATAAGTATTATATTTATATGACTATCATTCCATTCACCAAATTAGAACTGTTTTGATGCAATTTGCATGCTGTCTTCCTTGCTTCACCAGTAAATCAGTTTCAATCAGCTTATGGAATAAGCAAGCATTAAAGATTGTATTTGGGAACAAAAATAGATTAGGCCTCTTTGGCCAACCTGTCCATTTTTTCCTGGAGAGATTGATAAATTTGGTCATCTGAAGTAGTCTATTTTAGGTATTCTGGAAGTTATTAAATCACTAGATCCATAATTTTAATTTCATTTTCAAACTATTTTCAGGCTATATAAATAGTGCCAAGACTAGAGAAATATTACATTCATAGGTACAGCAGCAAAATTTTTCAGAAGTACAGTAAATTAAAATCTATTAGAACTGATGAAATTAATTTTAGTTCCTCTGATAAAAATGTATTGCTAAGTTCTTTGTTGCCTTTTTTTTCATCCTGAGTAATAACTGCTTTCTTCCATACTTCAGAACTTCTAGATAAGAACATTGTTATTGGCTTGATTTTAAGGTGACAATTTACTAGGGTTTGCCCATATGATTCATGGGAATTTTGCCCAAAAGATAAAGACTAATCTAATTACTTTCAAGTGACTTCTAATTCAGGTCATCCACTTTTGAATCTTACTATTTAGTTACATACTGAAGCAAACTGCAAAGGAAAAGGGATATCTATATATCTTCTAGTCATTAATTCCTTCTTGCTATGAGGTTTTTTGTTTGTTTTATTTATTCTGTTTGACAATGGGAGTCTCATTTTTCTTTTCTATCTGAAG